GTACCCAACCCCTCTGGCATGCAAATGGTTGTCTGCAGGAGTGGGCTTGGCTGCCAGGAGGCTGGGTTCCACTGAGTGCACCTTGGTTGACATCACCTGAAGCTTCATATGAAGCCTAGCGGGCCTAGTGGAAATTATCAGAATCTTGAGTCCCAAACAAAGCGTTGAAGTGCTTCCAGAAACATATCCTCCAAAACGTTCCAGACCAAGCTTTTGTTGAGTTAAGGTCAGTACCAAGCTCGCCGGGCAACAGAAGCCATGGCGACATCCTAGGCGCTGTTCACTCCCGACTGCGGGAAGCTTCCGCAATCTTACTGTAGTTTTACGGGTACTTCTACTTTGCAGCCTCGCAGCCCACGCACTTTCTGGGATGAGCTCCTTTCGGTGCATGGCCAGCCAGAGGAATGAGCGCAGCGGGTCTGACTGATACCTCCGCTGCTATTGAGGAAGCATTTCCACAAGGTCACGAAGTTGAAAGTCACTGTAGAAGCACTTGCATGTAAGCCGGTTATGGTCAGCCTCCATGAATGAGTCCGAGCAACTCCTTTGGGACAAACTGCAGCGCACCGCCGTAGGTCATGTAAACCAGGAGCTGCGCATCTTCCCTTGAAGGGATGTCAGCACAAACCATGCGCAGCCGGGACAAACATATTGATGATGCAGCAAGGCAGCTCCAGCATGTTCATATTCGGGCCTTGCGGCTCGGCGCTGGTCGAACATGTCGTCCACATAGGCATCCTCAAGTTCTGTTCACTTCTCAAGTCCCAGCCGAAAGCACCATCAACGTCCGTACATATATGTGACATGCAGAACACGCGGTCTCCTTGTTCTGCCAATCCTGAAAGCCTGAAAGGGCTGTCTGCCCAGGTCTCTCGATTAAAATACTGGAAGCATGAGATGTTCTGTACAAGCCTCACGAATTAGGCTGACTCTGCTTGGTCGTACAGTCTAACAGGTGCTTATGGCTGCTTCTGTGCTTTTCGGCGCTGCTTCAACTCCTTTTTTCTTCGGATCTTCTCACCCGGGAGGCAAAGATGGCAGAAAGAGCAGTCGTAACCGCTCTCACAGCCGTCCTTGTACACGAAGGCGCAAGGCTTGCAGGCACCGATGTAATGGCCCGCAGAGCCACGCGTTGGCAGCTCTGCAGGGTTGACATTGACACGATCTCCAAGCCCTGGGGCCGGGGCTGCAACTCGACCTTCACCCGCCGGTTCCGTATCAGCGGTGCTTGCACCGCTGCTATGGAGCGCATCAGGTTCCGAACGGCTATCTGCCTCATGTTCGAGCGGCTCAATGACCATGGGTTGCAAGCTCCTGGAAGGAGATCCAGGAGTTTCAAGTCCCGGAGGAAGAGGAACGCGTGCTGGGCCACTCCTATTCGGAGGTTGCTGAAGCTGCGCGTTCATCTTCAAGGTCTCTCCAGGACAGTAGCTGAAGCCGTCCTGCTTTACTCCTCCAGCTTCTCCAGCACGTGCTGGAACCAGGGAGTATGTGCCACCAACACTGGCGATGGTCATAGGGTTTCCGTAGCCACCGCTGCTAGTGTAAGTGTACATGGCCGGAATACTTTGTGCCGGGAGAGGTCGGAAAAAATTTCTAGAGCTCGTGCCAACAAGATCTCATGGCAAAACAGGTAAGGCACATGAGCAACATGCATCACCGAGTGCGCACAATTCGCTGGAGACAGTCGAAGACAAGTTATTCAGTGCTAGCATGCAACTACACCTCAACCTGCCTTTCGGACACAAAAAGAGCACTGACCAGATCGTCCACGCATGTCCACGCAACACTGTACTCACTCAACTCCTAGGCCAAGAAGTCAAGTCTCCGTCTTCTTTAAGGCGTCCATGTCCTGTGCCTCCAAGAGCTGCTTGAGTTGTTGAGTCTTTGCTCGATTGCACAAGCCATCAATGACCCAGATCACTGGGTTTTCAGAGACCTCGCAGCGGCGAGGTCTCTATCAGGCGCACGTGTTCTATGCAAACAGCTCTGCAGAACAACTCAGTTTAAGGGCTGAAATGCGAGCGCCTTCCATCTGCAACGTTGAGGCCGCTACCGACAAGTACCCATTAGCAACCATACGAATCTCAGAAATGGCAGAGGTTTCAGGCAATTCAGTAAGCAGTCCCCGAACCTCTGCCAAGCCAAGCTGCTACGTCAACATTGACGCCGGCAGAGGCCAAAGTGCGGTGCCGGGACTTGTGCCTGCTTTAAAATGAGGATGCCAGGGCCATAACTTGGACGCTTCCGAATGGTGTCGGGATGCGTAACCATTAGGATTGGGATCACACACACACACAGAGTACACGGTGAGCACACAAAGTTGAACAACTCGAAGCAATAGGGCGAGAACAGGGCATGTCACATGCTGAGCCTTCGTGCACGGCAACAAGGCGCAGACTGAGCAAGAATACATGTCAATTGCAGGCCTAGATACATGACAAGCGCCTACCAGAAAAACTGAAACACTTGCTCTGACTGCATCTCATCAAATGTTGATCTGATGGGGTTTCGCGATCCAGGTCCTCGCATGCCATGCTTCCTCAGGAAAGTACAGCTTCTTGCCCCCCTGCTGATCGCAAATCGAATTCCTTTTGAAGCACTGCGTCAGCGGAACGCATGCCAAACTGGAGCTTTAACTCTTTTCTGCCTACCCTGAAGTCATCTTATGATGCCTATCAGCTTGTACTACTTCTTGCAAGCCAAGCTGCAGCCACTGCGGCCGAGCAGAGCGGCGCCAACAGCAGTTGACCGCCCACAGGGCCGGAACGCATGAACCCCATTTCTGGGCACCACCTGCGGGCAACTAAGGCTGCTGGGCCTACTCTCAAGCTCTGGAGTAGTCAACGAGCGAGTGGCCGATTCCGCTAATAATCCAAACCAGCAACGCATCAAAGGTTTGATCTAAAGCCAAGCTACGCCCGATGAGCATGGAAGGAGTGGAAGGAGGCGACAGGCTCCAGAGGCTCCTAATAGGTCGGTCAGTAACACGGAGTAAAACAGGGCTTGTTGGAATTCTGCAGAGTCTTCTACATCGCGAAACGATCCAGCACGCTAAGCGCAGAACCCGTGGGGGGGATGAAGGCTTGAATGCCAAATTCCAGACGGAACCGTGGCACTATGTCTCTGCCAGCATCGCGCATGGCGGTCTGGAAGCATGTAGAGGGAAGGCGTGGGCTGCGCTCTGGGAAAATGCGAAGTTCAGTCAGCTAGCAGTCTTTCTGGCTAATTTGTCCATAGTAGCTTGTTTTTGTGCTGAGGTGTGTGTGTGCGTGTGCGTGTGTGTTTGTAACAATTCTGTTCGCAAACTCTAAGACACGCCAGAGAGGGGCGCAACGCAACTTAGATTCATCAGTTTCAACATCATCTCAGGAGGAAACGAAAGCGAGGCCAACGGTTTCAGCTCGCGTTCACAAGACAAGGCAGGACGCAAAGATCCCCAGCATCAAACAAACAATTGAATTTGCATTCAAGTCAGCGTACAGGTTTATGTCCTGCACCTCTGAGACATTGAAGTCAGGTATTGGGCCACAGGGGGCGTTGCATGATTGTGCCATCTGCATTAGCAGCCTCGGCTTAACGGCACAAGCTGATTGGAGCCCAATGCTGCATGGCTTCATCTAGATCTGATCCAACTTGTTTTTATAGTGAGCCTGAGATGCCTACTTCAATCTTACCAGGCATACCAGGGTTTGCAATGATTCCACTTCGAGGCCGTGCAGCAGGCGCTTTCTTTTTGGCTCTGCGAGATGCTCTGCTGCCTTGACTCTCTGTCTCTCTCTGCCAAAACCGCTTTGCTTCCGGAAAAATTCACAGATTAAGAGGCCAAAGCAGCAGAGTGGCCAAGTCTCTGGTTTCTACCCGCTGTGTTTGCGGAATAGCTATGCAAGACATAGCTGGAGCTATTGTGGTCAAGCGGCCTTCTGACTGGCTTCTCTGGCCGCAAATGCAAAAAATGTGAGCAGCATCTGTGTGTTGTATGACTTGTGTTCTTCTGCAAGCATGCGCCATGAAGTCATGAAGGCAGCTTGCCTGCCAAACTGCCTGAGCTGTACAAGCGGTGAAACGCAAACAAATGAGACGACGAGTGGCTGCTAGCTGCAGGATTCCCCACCCTTTGATTGAGCGATATCTCAGCGTGGCTCGCTGACGATGGGCTATGCTGATGCAACCAGAACACGATCGTTGCGCAAATTGCTTAGCAATGAGGGAATCACGCCAAATACTGGACATTATCAAACCCTGGCGGGTCATGGACTATGTGGCGTCCGCTGCCACCTGGGACTTCAAAATACGGACACTTAAGAGATGAAAAATCAAAATTAGGTGATGGCATGGCAGATAAACATCACCAGAACCGCAGCCATCAAATTTGTTGGCAGCTGCTTCTGCACACTCATTTGCATTGCGCAACTTTTGGAAGGGGCCTGAGGCTTTTGCTAGAGCTAGGCGCCAGCCCCGTCCGCCTCAGCGGCTTTCTTCGCATCCTGACATCTACAAACATGTAGGTATGAGCCCCGACCTAAGTGACCTCATAGCAGGCTGGCAATTCATTTTCTGCTTCAAATGACGAGCTCTGCGTCCATGTCGACTTCCTTGAGAATGAGACGCGTTCAACTAAAATCTCTGCGAATAGCCGAAGAAGCTTTGCTTCTCCGACACAGAATAAGATGTTTGGATAAGTCGTGGTAGGCCCAAATGTCGCTTTGCGAAGCCAGAGCCGTCAACGAACACACGCGCCGCACAGCGCACCAGTTCTCAGAATCTACCAGGAGAGTGCTCCTCGATACTGAATCCACACCTCTAGCAGTACCGCATGAATCAAATTTATGCCGCTTCAGGGCGAGTGCTTGGTGTCGTATCTTGAGAAGCTGATGCAACTCTGCAGCCGCAGCTTCTACAACTACAACTACAACTAGTATACCAATGCCTGCTTGTGAGAGACTAAGGCAGGACGCTCACGTTCGAAAGCGAAATGCAGAAAATTGTCTTTTCTGTGCTTAGCCAGCACGAGACACATAGTCAGCTCCCAACTGTGGACAGGATAACGTGTTCTTAGGTCGGAAGATATCGAAACTTGTCTGCTTGGCCCATCGGAGTTCTTCGTCATTGTGGTTGATCATGTCATCCTTCAAACGATTGTCGAACTCATCTCGGTCGTCCAAGTGAAGCTCCTTGTACTGCTTCGTCGCCTGGTCCACGTAGCCCGTGCGAACAATGCGCTGGTAATGTTTGACATTCTCGAACTTGCCTACGTAGAAGTGCTGCTTAGTTGAAGCAGGCCCCCGATAGCCGTAGTCCAGCTTCTCCTGACCGCCTGCCGTCACACCACCATCTAACAGATGTGTCCAGAATTTATAATGCGTGTCAGTGCTGAAGAACTTCTGGTCATACGGAATCTTGGATTGCATTTCTCTGTCCTGCTTCTCATAGAACTCCTTCTTTTTGTGCTTGTTCCAACGCCCTCGACTACCCACATCTGTCAGCCACACACGGTGGAAGACGTTCAGCCCTTCTGGGGTTTCCTTCTTCCCCGGACAGGAGCTATGTGACCAGGGCTTTGGGTGTGGATGTGAGACCAGTGGCAACTTCTTCTTGTGAAGGCTCCATGAGCGGTGGAAGGGCCTTTCCTGAACTGTGGCGTTGCCATGAACCTTTGTGAAAGGTCGTGGGTTGGAAGCCACGGTCGCGTGTTTGGGCGAGGTTTCAGGAGAGCCATCCGGATGCAGCATGATGCGTGGCCGGATTTCGGACCGGCATCCCTGAGGCCCTTCGGCCACAGTCGAAAGAGTGCTCATAAGTATGCTCATGGCTCCAGCGTACCGCGACTAATGACGGGCTAGAGTGTGTAGGTCGCTGGAGCCAAAAACTTGACGAACTTAGATTGGTTGCTGTCAGGCAGATCAAGCTTCTGTTTTCAAGAGGCAGTGAGGCAGAAAATATTGGCCCTCTCAGCCTGAGCAGCTTTGAGTTTGATCTTCTCAGCCCGAGTCTGGACGTACTTGTGCATGTCCGCCACACCTTTTGTCACAGACAACCCCATCAGCTTAAACCAGCGCGGTCCTCGCCACGGAAAGCTACCGCAGGCATTTTGCTGAATGACTGCAGACCAGTTGCCATCGTCGTAGTCAATCTTCTGTGCCTCGTGCTAGCCGGCCAATTTCGGATTTCGGGTGCAATGCACAAAGTGTGAAACCGGCGTGCAAAGTGCCATGATCTCTTGGGCATCTCTCCCGCGCAAGCAAGGACTCTGCAGCATGGAGGGTCTACTTTGAAGGCAAGCCACTTGCGCAAAATCGGCTGCACTCGCCTCTCTGGCAAGCAACTCACTTCACTGGGTAGGGATCAAGGCTAGATAGCCCATTTGAAGCCGCCGTGCTGCTTCACTGGAAGGAGCTTCCGTGCCACGGCCACGACTACTTCCACCATCTCAATACGTTGACCACGCAGTTGCTGCAGCGCACGCGCCTCGTACTCACCCAAGAAGCGCCTGGCTTTTGCTCGGGCACGGAATGCCTCAGATTGGCCCACAGTCTGCTTGCCTTGTGCCAAGTGTCTGCATGCTTATTCCGCTGCAACCATACTGCCGGCTGGCTCACAGCCAAACTTACAGACAAGCTGCCTTGGCACTGTCTGGATTCAGCTCCAAAGCCAAGGATGCATCGGCAACCACTGCTTTGTATCGCTTTTGTTTCCTCTGCACTGCTGAAGGCGAGCACACGTAAATTGCCTACGCCATGCTGCCAAGTGCAAACAAAACCAAGAGACTCATGCTACAAGTAATTTTGTCCCAGTCAAGTTTCAGGAGCATTTCTGCTCGTTTAGCGACCATCATGGCTGAGACCTGGGTCATCTGGGCGTATGCTCAGAAGAGGGCAGCTACAATGGCACGGCATGCCCTGCCAACCGGCTTATGACTGATGACCTCCCAACGACTGCAATCCTGGAACACCCCAAAGACCTGCGAACTTCCTCTCAAGCCACCCAAGTGTGCTAATGAGAGCCTAGGGGCTCCACCAAGCATCATGGCCTCCGTGAACTTTGCAACCGCCACCTTCAGGTCGCCGTCCTCCAAGGCCTGACTGAAGCTAAGACGGCTGCGGAACCTGCGCTGTACTGAGGAATCCTGTTATGCAGAGAGTCGAGCCGTAAGCTTGTTCTGTCATATGTCGGAACATTTGCTGTAATGAAATGACAAGCCTTGAGTTGTACTATAAGGCCAAAGGAGATCCAGCATGCCAGGAAGTGAGGGCTCTCATTCATTATGCATAATGAGTGTCCTCTAGTAAAAACGGACCTGCTGATCCTCGCTACACGAAAGTACACTAGGAACTAGCTAGTACACATCTGAATCCCTGTAGGATGCCAACCAGGGCACTAGTAGGCAGAATGGGGCGTTAAGATACACTGAAATGCCTCTCCTTCCTCCAACTTCCCTTGCAATTCAAATCACGCGCAAAAGGATATTGAATTCGGACAAGGAACAGAACAAAATGCATATAGCATCAAAAGCTGCAGCCGGATTCATTACTGAACAACTGAATACTTACTAATGTCATGCCTGACTGTCCGCAGCCAAGCGGCATCAGCAGCCTGGCTTTTGAGTTCGCCCTGCTTGTCGGCCTCTGCATCGCTGAGCTCCTGCTGCAGAGCAGCTTCCTAGTTCTTGTAGTAGTTGGGCCTCTCATAGCCTGCGGGGCTATGTGGGATGTTCCATAACACCCCACAGATCAAGGGGCCAGAGCCAACCTGGGCTTATGCGAATCCCATGCGATTCTTCCTTTCGTGCAATCGTAGATTTGAGGGGCATGTTTGAGCCCCCCTTACAGCTCTGCGCGAGGATGATAGGCTCATGCAGAAGGCCGACGTACCACCACAACACTTGCTCGGACACCAACCATACGACTAGACTAGGATGTATACATGTCCTTGCGTCGATGTTTTGCACAACGCCCACACGTTGAACAACAGTCAAGACCATCAATCCCCTGTGTTCGGCCGCTCCTTGCTGATGAGGTCCTGGGATCACAAGGTGGCAAATGGTGGCAAACCAAGGCAAAGCCTGCAGATTACACACAACACTTTCCCAACCAGATCGTGTTGGACTGGCCTAGCGAATGCCTCCCCGTAATGTGGGGTGAAAACTCGGGGCCCTGTTAGTTTCATAGGTTGCAATAGTGCTGAAGCATAAGAGATGCCCATGCTCTGAATCATGAAGTCCACCAAGTTCACTGAGTCCACCTGCATTTTCCTGCTGCCAGGGCGCTGACCCTGGCTGGTCCGGGAGCGGCTCCTCCTCCGCAGTCATCACCACCTCCTCCTCAGCATCTTCGAGAGTGAAAATGAGATACGTGACCGATTTGCTGGGGGAAAAATGAAGAGAAGATGTGTATCAGCATGCACCTGCACTTCTAACTGAAATCTCAGTGCTAATTGGAGCCCAGGTTGCAATGAACTGCACCCTATGCACCAACAAGCATTCTGCAGGTTCTGACTCTGGCTCAAATTTTCCCCCACCCTTTGCTTCCAGTTATTTCTGCGGACTTTCAACGGCAGGCAAGTGGCATCATCTGACAGCACGACTGGCGGCGCCTGCTCTTTTGCAGCTACAAGTTACTGCAACAATAAGAAAACGAGCGTACCCACGAAAAAAATTTCGAGCCATTTCCAAACTTCGCTTCAAGTTTCAGGATTCGGGAACTTGCTGTAAGACGATGGCCCTTTCAAAGAGCCCTTCCGAACTTGTCATCTGGCCTCGGGCTCTGGAGGCACTGCCACTACAAGCTCCATCGTCCTTGGCCGAATATTGGAAATCGCAAGGGAAGAGACTGTCAAAACAAGACATAGGCTAGAAGAAGCATGCCCAAAAGGCTCGACAATGACCGCAGGCCGAATGGAAGCCTTGTCTGGTCCCAGGACCGCCGAGCATCCTTCCGTTATCCATACCTTCCACGTCCTGCAGCTTCGTGACCTCGTCCAGCGGCTCGCTGCCATTGAACGACACGGACTGGAATTTCCTGAAAGCAGAGCAGCGGTACATCCGTGGGTTAGGAGCGACGCCTGTCCTCCAAGTTCATGCTCAGGCACAGCAATACGTGGCATTCAAATTGCAAAGTCTGCTTCTGGAAGCAAGTCTTTTGTACCTCTCCTCTTATCAGAAAAAGCTGGGGGGGCGCTTCACATTAGTGACATAAGACAGCACGACTTAGACCCTAAATCTCATGCGAAGCCTTATCTCCGGAACTGCCTTTGTGCCAAGCTTCGGATGCGCCATCACGATCAAAGCGATTCTTTGCTTCAACATATTGATGGTCCTCATGCACTATGCGTGCACTCCATGAAACGTCATGTCTAGGTGAGCGTGGAGCAATCCCATCAGGCAGATAAAACTGGCCCAGCAGAATGCAGCTTTTCAATTTCAAGCCAGGCTGTGGTGTCTGTGCCATTGCGAGTCGAGGCTACGGCACGAGCCGAAAGACGTGCCACCGTCATGACTGGCTCCTAGGGATTCACACAACGGTCCTGCATGCAGGTTTGGAGCTTCAGTCCACTGCTGGGCGGACCTTTCCAAACAATCTGTACATCATTCTACTAGAGTGAAACACGGGTTGCCATGCCTGTCATGGAAGCCAGGAAGTGCTAAGATCCTTCTCACACTTAGCGCGCTGCTTCGCGTTGTGCGAGACGGTTGGCTTTGACAGCGCCTCGGCAATAGCATGAAGATGCCTTGCATGGGGCACCTTAACTGTATCCTCCTCCTCTTCTGCGAAGGTCCTCCAACTTGGTAACAGCTGTTTGGTGACCAGCGCGGGGAAATGGCTACCCACCTGGAAGCGCTGAGCCCTGGCCATCCAAAAGTGAGCCCTGTCCTCTGAGGTTACAGGGTCCTCCTCTTCGCCACGGCCATAGGGCTTCTCTTTTTGCAAAGCTCTTCGCTCACTTCTAGTTTTGGTTGGCCAAACATCAGAAATGACTGTCATCTCATACCTTCGCACTGGCGCGTGCCGAATGCGTGCGGAAATGGGCACGCGCGAGCCTCTGGGCAGTTGAACTGCCAATCGTGTCTGTGGCTCGCGATTACACTCCCAGGACCGTTTCGCCATCTGACCAGGCTACGGCATGCCTTTCCCTAAACTACCTCATCCCGCCAAAGCTTGAGCCATAGCTCCGGCAAATGGCTTGCCAACACCTACTCTGATATGTCATGATATGTCACAATGATATCTCGCCTCTGTGGGTCTGTGTAGCCAAGTTGCGCGTGGCCCTCTATCTGCAGCGTGAGGTCGTCGCCAGCCTTCCACTTTGATCCTTTCTTGCTGTTGATGGCCTCATTGTCTATACCTGACAAGCATTGACATGACTGAGGCGCGTTGCATTCTGAAGAATAGATCAATTGGAAAACAAATCTGAGAAATGATTTTGTAAAGAACAGACTGTTGCTCAAAGTCGTCAAGTGACTGACAATCTTCACCTTGATGGTCCACTGATTGTCAGACATGGCTTCAACGCTGCAATCTATCCTGACCTTCCTCAGCAAAACCTGATGCACAAAGTGCTGCGGGATCACAACTCACGGACAGGCCAAGGAGTACCCTATCTAATAATCTAATGATCGAATATGAGTGAATAAGAGGGTCAGCTCGGGTGCACTCTGCCCAAGAACATGGTCCCTGCCGCCATCTCAGCCTTTCCGCACACGTCATCACGACAGTTCAACACGCTGGGCCCCTCAATAAAAGCTACAGGACTGCGCCACCGGTCCTCCGTGAGCCCGCCACCCCGAGCAAGCACGATAGACCATGCAGAGGCCAGCTTGGGTTGGATTGGTCACTTGGCCAGACAAAAAACTCTTTTCCCTGTGATCCCTCACCGAGGTGCTGAGTCAACGGCGCACACATGCGCGCGCGCCCGCAGCCATGCCCCTATGGTGTTCGCTTGGCGTGTTGGGGCAATGCCTGGATTTAAGGAATGGCCCACGGTTGTAATCTAGCGCGGGCTGTTGTGCTGCATCTCGTTCGACGCAGGTGCCCAAGTATCAAAGTATTTCTCAAGCAACACATCGAAACACGCATCGAGTTTTGCTTTTGTGAAAAGCTAAGCAATCCACGAATGACACCAACATATTGGAACCACTCTCAAAGCACTGCACCTGCACACATGCTCGATCCCTCTTCTCCTTCTTCTACAGGCTATGCACCTCCTTAGGGAGGTACCGCAGCACAGCTGCGAGCCCAGCAGTCCGCAGCCCGTAGGTAGCAAGGAAGAGTTAGCGACTGCCTGTCCAGTTCCCCCTTTCCCGTCTTCCATCTCCCCCCTTCTTCGCCCCAAATCCCAAGCTTAAAGCCGTAAAGACAGGCACTCGCCCCGACCTTGCCTCTTCACGACAGTCACCCCCCTTAGCAATAAAGCTGACCCCTGTTTCTGTGCAGAAAATTCTTCCTCGTGGAAAGCGCAGGGATCAATATCGTCCCCATGTTGGCCCCTCACAGTCACAATTCTTCAGCATTCTGATGCCCTTTACCAATAAAGCGCCGCTAGTCCAAACCCAGAGCGAGAACTCCGAAGCCTGATGCCTTCCCCTGCGCCCCAGCACTTTCTTACAGGATTTGCACAGGTGGAACTCGACAAGTATTGTTCCTGCCATGAATTGGCGCTTGCACGCTTCTTCTTCTCCTCACAACGCTCTGCAAACGCTCTATCTCTTTGTCCCTCTCTCCTTCTAGAAGCCACACTATGGCACTGGTCGGGGTTGCACCTGATCACCCCCACCAGGATTGGAGTACTAGCAAGTTTCACCCCACAAACCCTACATAGATATGCGGTCTGCTCGACGACGCGCTAGATCCTGATAAGTCCTAAAACTCCCACAAATCCATTAAACTCAGGAAGGAGGCGGGAGCACCCGCAACACAATCAGACTGAACTTCTGCTCCTCGCCCTCGCTGAAGCGCCTGCAAATCAGTTTCCACGTTTGCCCCTCTCTCCCTAGGAACCTGGAGTCTGCTTGAACCCCTGCATATCTTGTGCTCATCATCTGTGGGTGTAACAGGATGACTGTACATCAGGCCATGCAGCCATCACTGGCTGTGATGCTTCTCGTTGCAGGGCAGCAGAAAAATCATTGGCAAGTTGACGCACGTGTTTTCCCGAATGCGTAGCAGAAGGGTTCCCGGTTTAAGGTTGGGGTCCGGGGCCAGGAGGCGATGCGAGGTCGTTGCGTTTGCGTTCGCAAGCGTCCGCAAGCGTCCGCAAGCGTCCGCAAGCGTTCGCAGAGCGTCGGACTTGTGTCGGACTTGCGTCGGACTTGCCGGAGACGAAAATCGTCGCGAAACGCAGAACTGTCGTCACTTCTTACGTTTCGTATTACAAAAGTGTCAACAGTCACAGGGATCGGGGGGGTCGTGGTCGCAAAACGCAGAACTGTCGTCACTTTTGGACTCGTCTCGGTCTTCGC